AAAGGATACTGATAGCTTTTTCCCCAACTGTTTGAAACAAGCTATAAATTTGGTCGTATGAAGACTGATCAGATGCCTGCATAGTATCTGCGTACCTTACTGAGGATGGAGAGGTTGCATAGGGACCATAGAAAATTTATTGGGCTTGTGAAAACCCCTCAAGCGGCATCGGGTGGGGAAATAATAGTGCCGTTGTTCTGCCCATTCGCTAGTAGCCTTAACCGTGGGGCATCTGAAACTCTCATGATCTAATTGAACGGCTGGATTCGCCATACTTTTATCACAAACAGTAGACTTTGTGCTTGTGTTTGATGCACTTGCGAGTTGCGGGACCCATAGTGGTCTCCCCCTGGCGTTCTTCGTGTTGTTTCCGTTGCATAAGCGCGGCAAATTTTCGGTATTAAGCGTTGAACTTTCTATGAGCAAGAAGTGATCCAACTAGAGTAAAGTTTTAGGGATTAACCCTCTTCAGGGTCGTTCAAAACGTCCAATTTATTGGGCGCAGAGCATCCACAAGTTGCCAATGGGTTTTCAGTTCGAAAATAACTTATCACATTTAGATCACGGTTTTCAGCTGAAGGTTTAAACCTAGATATAATCGAATTGGCGTCACTGCCCATCTTAGGAACGATGGGTTTGGTTTCTCAATGGGTCCATCTGCATTTTTTCTTTGCCCTCTAGTACTTACTCTAGTTATATCCCGAAGACGTTATTCAAACTGTCAAGTAATTTCTAATGGCATTGCTGACTTTGCATCTTTTAATCCGAATGTGATTTTCGCAGTCACTGGAACTAACATTAGATAGGCCAAAGCCTAAGACATGAAATACCAAATGCTGAAAACACGAAAAAAAATTTCTGCGTCTTAAAAATGCAACAATCTCAAAAACAAAAACAAGGATCTGTCAGTGTAACTTTTCAGTTCTTGCATGTTAATTTAACTCCAGGGTCATTAATTGGTATCGGTGTGAAAATATGAAGCGTGGTATTTAAAAACCATGTTTCCAATGAAGTAGAGATGCCCCACATGATTGCACTGACAAATAATTTTAGAAAAGTAGGAGACACAATTCTTCATGGTTTTCAAAAGAGCATGGCTTTTGCTGCAACATAAAGACGACTGCGAATAACGGCATACCTGATCGTCTAATGCTTACGAATAGAAAGTTATATTTTTAAAGCCACGCACTAACGGAGTATTTTTGTTGTTAAGCACATCCAATATGACCACAATATTTAACCCAATAAAGGTTGTTGTTTAGGCACGGTGGTAGGTTTGGAAGTCTTCTGTTTGCCTTAAGCCAGCATCCCGATTAGCCAAAAGCCCTGAAAGCGCAAAATAGAATATTTTATCGTTCACTTATTAAATAAAGAGGACTTTTCACTGCTTAAGGAAGATTTGTTAGAAGTTTTCGACAGCAAAGATATCCGAGAAGTTAAAAAATTCTCATTAATATCTCAGTTGCTTCTTGTACTACTTTATGGATCACTTCGCCAGTCTTCACCTTTAGGTGAAATCTCTGCGACAAAACAGTTTGTAGGTTAATTTATAATTAAAACAGAAGAAACTCACACCCATTGCCAGTCCACACTTCACGGTCGTCAGTGGACAACTAAACAAGGGCAGTAAACTCAGGCTCTACATATACGAAAAAAATTTCCCACTGAAAATCTTTTTTTCTGTCGCTGAAAACACGTTTCACGTTGCAGCCTGCAGCGTGACTTGACAGGCCATTTCGGTGAAAATTCATATTTCTCGTTGTATATGTCAAG